TGCCTGGCATAGACATACGGGAAAAGGTCAGCAGTATACAAAGAACTAAATAAGATTAATTAATGCCACAAAACAGACTGCCTGTTAAGTATCCATTTGATATTGGTAACATCCCAATGCAAATAACTTTAAAATCCAGAAGGAAGGGAGAACTGATTAGTTATGCCATTTTATGTCTCACAGTAACCAGTGAGGTGCCTAACCAGAGTAGACTCACCAATATTTTTTATAACTTTGATGTTGTTATTGAAAGTTGGAGATGGGTAGGTGCAGGGAGGAGAAATGTGGAGTTTAGGGCAGTAATAAACCAAGATAGACTCATGCAGTTTCCAGCAATCAGTTTGCTCCAAGGCAGCCTTCTAAGTCAAGAAGGAAGAGACCAGACGCAGGGGTCTGACAAACGTGGTGCAGACCAGGGCACCATTTATAGATTGTACCTTTGGTCAAGTTTCCTTTCTGAGTCTCAGCGTCCCTATCTCCCCAGTGAAGCTGACAACATCTGCCTTGTGCACAGTAGTGCAATCACAAGTGCACAGGCATCTGAGAGCATAAAAATCATCTTATCTCCCTTTGACATCTCTCCCTTTAGGGACAACTAAAGCTAGGATATTCTGCATGAAAAAAAGATACTGTTTAGATACACTGAACTCTTTATGATGAGCTTAGCTTTTATTCCTCGTAAGCTTCAAGAGGAAGGATGACTAGTTATAATTCGCAGGTCAAACATTTTCATGTTGATAAGTAGTCTCAGTTCCCGTAGGAAAGTCAGTTGGGGCAAGTAGAGGCAGGATGTCCTTTTGCAAAGTGAAATATTCCAATCTAGCAAGATTATAATGGTGAACACATTTTCTCTTGAAGGATCGAGAACTATTCTGAGCATCGTTATAGGCAGACATGTTAGAGCCAGAGCTAGGTTCCAAATCTCAACTCCATTTAGTTGAACTTAGGCAAGAATTTATAGTCTGTCTTTACCTCAGTTTTTTTGAATGTATGAAAGAGGAAATGGTTAATATCTAATAATTTACTATTTCAGGGGTTAACATGCACAGATATGTACCCAACAAAAGATAGTCATTATTGAAAGTCATTATTCTAATATGATTATTGAAAGTCCCTGTGGAGATCATCTTCGCCTCAACAAGTCCCCCTTCCAGGTGAATTGGGGGCAGTGAAGAGTAATGTGGGGCAAAGAAGTAAAAAGAATTACCCGTTATTGAAAGAACCTGAAAAGTTAGGAAGACCAGTAATAATCCTACTTTGAAGCTGTCTAGTAAGATACACTGGAGGAAAGACAGAGGGCGTTTCTAGGGAGGCTGATGAGATTACTGACAGCTGGAGTGATTATGTCTGGGACAGGAAAGCTAACAAAGCGCTAAGTTCACACTACCTTAACACCGGATTAGTGGCTTGGTGGTAGGTTAGCAGACAGTGTACATCACCAATTCGTGTATATGAATACATGACTTACATGTACATAAACATCTCTAGCAACTGAAAAAAATGGTGAGCAGTGCAGTTCTCAGGATTTCATGTTAGACCACTTGGAATAGCTGACCACCAAAACCAAGCACAAGATCCCACGAAAGAGTTTTCATTTTCCCTTCACAATGTGGAGGAAAATAAATGCTGACCGAATCAGAGAGAGGCTTCCTGTTCCTCGTGTCATACTGACATAAGCTAGCCTCCTGCTGTATTTCAGTACCCTATTGGCACGGCTGGTTCTCTGGCTACTTTTTCTTTCTATTATATTTTCTTGATTGCAGCTTGTTTCAGGACATAGCTTTGAGTGTTCTCTAAAACGCTTTGGCCCTGAAAATCAGCTGCCGCTTAGAAGCATAGAATTGGCAATTAGCTTATAAGCATATTTTCACCCAGATCCAATCATCGCACCAGCTGCAAGAGGCACCCATCCTCATCACTGGGACTGTTTTATCTAGAACTAATTTGGTGCATGTTCTTATTTTTGACACCAGCTGTAGTTTTATAGCAGAAACAAAAAAAGGCAGGCTATATTTGGGGTAAATAAAGAGGACACATTCAAAGGGTCCCATAGTGTATATCGTACACTCACTGATTCAGGGGAAGGTTCACCTTTGCAAATATGTCACGTTGTTAAATGGAACTCTTTCTGCTCATATCAGCCCCAGAATTATGTGTGCCTGCATCCGGGACAGGGCTCTTTGATTTTTTTCTCTGTCCCAGGCAACCTTCCAAATGGACCAGAGTAAAACACTGGAATTTCTTTAAAATTAAATGAGACTAACATAAAAATTTCATTCTTATGTCTGTACATTTAGAGAAGAGACCCGCAGGCAACAACGAAACATTCCCAATAAATGGTTGTCCAACCTCTGTTTGGATCCTTCCAGGGATTTTGTCTTTTTATAGCTCTTCTTGTCTTTTTATAGCTCTAATGATGAGATAATTCTTTTTTTAAAAATATTTTTAAACTGCTTGACAGTCACTTATGTTTTGTCTTCCAAAGCCATAAAAAAAAGAATGCCCAGTTCTTTCTATATACCACAGTTCCTCATGCTGCTTATGAATGAAGCTCTCCGGGACACCTCAGCTTCTTTTCTTTTAAGCTAAATGCCACATGTTTTTCAGTCACACCCCAAATGTCCTGGTTCTGAGACCCTCATCATACCCTGATCATAGCTCAACCCTGGCAGTTGGAACTGGGCACTGTGTCCCCGCCATCCTGAAACCATCTGTGTAAATGGGTCAGTTCTGTGCAATCCTGCCAATTAGCATATTTATCGAGCAGGGACAGAGTGTGAGCTGTGCTTCACCGTGGTGCTGTGTTCTTTATGATGTGGCCAGTGTAAGTGAGTTATTTCCAGGACAGAGCTGCTGGTAAGAACAAAAGCCAGTGATACAGCCCACGTCTACCAATGTATTTGAAGTGACTGGGTATTTAAGAAAAAAGAAAGAAAATACAACGCAAACTCAATTTAACCTCCTCCCATGTTGAGAAAAACATGTTGGTTTCAACCCATCACACACTTCAAACAAAAGCCCTGAATAATACTTAAATAAAAATAATCTTCAAGTTAAATATGTTCATTCTGCTTCCCCCAGTGTTATTTGATAGGGGACCTTTTTGGCCCTCAGTTATTATGTAACGGAGGAAAATGAGGAGAAAGTTTGAAGGATTCTAAAAATATCATTCTGATAAATTCCTGGCACACTTTCTAAATTATTTGATGCTAAAGCTCTATGATCAGATATCCACTTAAATGCCCTTTTCAACCTGGGTATTGAAATCTTTGGTCCAAGTGAAGAGCAATGAGAGAGTTTCGTTAGGGTCCTTACATTAGAAGAAATAAAAATTCAGCATTTCTCTAACATTAAAGACAAATCAGTAACACGTGGGTCTGATTTTTCTTTGTTAGGCACAGAATATGATGAATTACGGGCCAAAAAAAGTGACATTAAGCCTGCTGTGTATACTTGGTTTTCAGCAGCAAGTATGGCCTGCCATCACTATATTACTTGGATTAAAAACAGTTTGTGTATTTTAACTAAGTCTGTAGAGTTCCATTGGAATTAAGGAAGGAAGTAAATGGCTCAGGTTCATGATGTTCTCTTTATTTGATACAAAATGCTGACTCAGGTGTTCCCCATTTTATCTTTGTTTCTGCCCCAAAATTTAGGACGTGGGCACATTTATCTCCAAGAAAATGTTTCATGAGTACACCCATGTATACAACCTTATCTGCTTTCTTTTATCCATAAGTTCTAATGGCATCACCCAAACTGATGTGACCCTGGCTTGCTCAGAAAGCAATGAAAAAGTAGCAACATGTGTTCCTGTTTCTCTCCACCCGCCCTAATCCTGTGTGGCTTTGATATGTTACTGAATTATAAATCAATGTCGTTGTAATATGGGCTCCTGTCACTTTAGGTACTGAGTTGAAAATAAGAAATTAAAGATGATAATTACAACGTGTAGATGAAACTTTTGCCTAAGAAGTTTTCTTGTCTTTTTATTTTATGAGCTCCTGGAATTTCTTCCACTGTAAATGGAAAATTGAATCATTTTAAGTCATCTTTGTAAACAGTATGCAAATACCAAGCTGAATGAAGATTGTTTTCTTTCAGATCAGTATTTAAGGACAACCAGGGAAATGTGGACAGAGACTCAAGATTTTCGCCATTGTATAGGCAAGAAAGTAGCAAGATTTCAACTGAGGACCTACTTAAATTAGTGTCTGATTATAGAAGGTAGGATTTTGGGGGGGATACTCTTGAAATTAACATGAGCCAGCTACACTGCTACTGGTGATCTGTTATCACTGCGTAAGCAGTACTTGATTGCCAGATTCTCGTATGTCCAAAGTCCTCCAGAAAGCAGATGCTTTGCAGATGACTTCACTTATTTCCAAATGACGCCAGAAGAAGAAATTTGCCAGGTTTGCATGGAAGGACGTGAAACATTAAACTATGTCAGTTACCAATAGCTATGTAACACATCACCCCAAAACATAGCGGCTTAAAATAACAGCCTCACTAATTTTACTCTTGAGTCCATCATTGAGCATGGCTAGGTGAGGGGAGCTTGTCTCTTCTGCATATGATGTTGGCTGGGAGAGGTCGAGTGGAACCAGAGGGTCCACTTTCAAGAGAGCGCATTTGATGACAGGCAAGTTGGTGCTGGCTGGTGGCCGGGAGCTCAGCTGGAGCTGTGGGCTAGAGATCTTGTTCTTCTCCATGGGAGCCTCTCCATGGGATACCAAGGCTTCCTCATGGCCTGATGGCTGAGTTCTAAGAGTAAGTGTCCCAAGAGACAGACAGAAAATGACCACTGCCAGTTCCTTATGACCAGAAACTGTCCCAGTGCTATTTCTGCCACAGGATACAGTCAGCTGTCACAGATCCTAGATTCAAATGAAGGGTATAGAAACACCTCTAAATAGGAGGAGTGTTAGGGGATTTTAGAATATGTTTGAAACTCCACAGAGCAATTAATTGCTGTGAATACAATTATTTATAATATTTTCCTTCTTCAGATGGTTTTGGAAAAGACAATGGAAGTTAGTGCTAAGAGAAGAAAACCGTGAAAGTCACAACATTTTTAAAATGAATCACCATGTGTTCAACATCTGATGATGATAAAATCTTTCATGATAAGTGACTTGTAAATCATTAGCCCCTGATACACACAGGATTCCTTTGCTCCTTTCCCAAGTGTTCTCTTTCTGCCTCTCCCATCTAAGAATCAACAATCCCCCATCAATTAATTTTGTTTATCTGAAACGAAAATAATATATTACTATGAAACAAGTGTGATTAATATTTTCTGTATCTTCAATACAAGATATATTTCTATTTAATTAGAAAGGAAGTTTTCCTAATTTTTTTTTTCTGTTTTGGAAAAAATATAAACCTTAGAGAGCAAAATAAAGGTAAGAAATAAAATCTTGGAGGAAACCATGAACCAATATTACGTTTTTATGAGCCTACAAGACCACTCCTTACATGGGGAGACCCTCCTCTTGACTTTATCAGACTTCAAGATCAAAATGCCTACAGCCGCTAGATAGGAATTAAGAATGCTTTTCCTCTTTACTCTTTTTCCAGTGCACTAATGCATGGAAAAGTTGTAATGCTGAGCAGAAGGGAATGGGCAAAACGGGAGAAGACCACACTCTCACAAAACCCATGTTACTGTTTAGCAAAGAAAGTTATTCCTATAGCATTCAGAGGGCACCTAGAATACCTAATGCCATGCTGGTGAGATGTTAAATTATTTCATGGATGCCTTACACTTTATGACATTTATTCTCAGTAGTGTGTTGGTGGATGTCTACCACTGAGTCTCTGGGGGGAAAACTGATTTGTAGTGTGATGTAAATTCTCCTACCATTGCTGATTTCAGACATGGGGCTTCACCAAACATGCAATTGGAAAGAAATGTGCACACCATTACATAACACTTCCACCACACAGACAGACACAGATAACCTCCAGAGCATAGATAATCTCACCATGTAGTAAAATAATTACCAAGTGATGAATTTTCAGTCCTTGTTACCTTGGTGTTGAATGTAATTTGTTAAATGGTAAGTTTATATAATTTCATTTTTAACAATGGCGGTGTTTTACAGTTGGCAGGCAAAATAACTGAATATTTAATAATCAGCTCTCACAAGCTGGGAAGAGCTGGATCTGACCCACCACTGTAATTACTCTGCCTCCCTGAGTAGATTTCCTGACAAGGGTAACACTGGAAACTGTTACCTGCAACTTTCACCTTACTATAAAGGAAGATAGGTGGGAGGGTTTTAGTGAAGAGAGAGGGAGAGGAATTCAAGGACTCATGAATGAGAATGAATACAGTACAGGGATAGGTAGGGAAAGAGGGTCCACGTACTCTTACAAGGATGGGAGAAGAAGAAGAACCAGGATCAGGGAAAGGTCCCTTGTCCCCTTCAGATGTGGGTGACAAGGGAGAAAGCAGACTGTCCCCTTAGCAGCTGCAGCAGAGACCGGCCGGGCTCTCAGAACTTCTTCAAACTCCTCCTGAAAGTGAATCCTTTCACCAGTTCAAATACCAGTACTTTTTGTTAACGAAAACGATTTACCATTTACCAAAACTAACAATTCACCATTCTACGTATGTGTTGGGCCATTTATAGAAAAGTTATCTGAAGTCGGAGCAAATAGCTTTAAAACATTCTTCAGAATATCTGTAACTTGACCTCTCCCTGATTTTTAGTTCTTATTTGCAGCATCATGTAACTTTTAGTTTTCAAAATAAAACTAATTGAAGAAATTATTCACAAGATTGTTTAGGGTCCCACTTATCAACACCGAGAATGACAGTTAACTGGGTTTTTCCTTGACAACTAAAATAATTCCTTGTGTGTGTGTGTGTGTCATGTGTGTGTGTGTCGTGTGTGTGTGTTTCTGTATTTGCACAGAGCTGACAGAATAAGCAAAACGCAGACCATTCCTGGAAGCCTGGATATCACTGTTGACAACAGTCCTTTGGAGCATCCAAGTATGACGATAATGTAGAGTTTGGAATATTTAGTGGTTTGTTGGTTGGTTGGGTGGGTAGTTGGTTTGTTACAAAGGTTTGTTTGGGGAATTTTTTCTCAAAGTTTGGAATAAATGTAATTCATTATCCTATAGAAATTTGAGGCTTATTTCTCCATTAAGACAGACTGTAAGTACTGTAGGGCAGGAACTATATTCAGGGTAACCTAATATTCATCTGGTATACACCACGCACCCAGCAAGGTATTAAATTATTTAATCTTCAAAACCCTGGAGGGTTGCAAATCAGTTTCCAATAGATTGATAAACCAATAACCCACAATAGGTGATGCTACACTGTGCTGCCAAAGCGTTATTCTGAACACCATGTGTAGCTACCCAAGTGGCCATGCATTAATTACAGCTGGCTTGTTTTAGACTCTCTTATTACACAGGGAGCATACATCTTTTTCAGAATACAGCCAGAAGTTCTGTTTGCCAGTGAACATTTGAATTTCAGAAAGAGTCTTTATTAATTTGTAAATAAGATTTGCAGAATTTATTTCTAAAGCGGTGACATTGGTTTATTTGTTTATTTTTTTTCTTCTAATTATGCCTTTTAATGACTTTCGCAGTGATGCAATGAATGAATAAGGGCATTCTAAAAAGAACTACAAATGGGGAGAGAATTATTACCACAGGACATTTGAATTGCCCTTAGCACTGTTAAGTTTTTCGTTCTTACAGTTTTTCCACAAATCATTTTAATATGAAGTACAATGAGCATCCTGATGTAAGCCATGGCTCGAAGTCACTTTTATATTGATTGATGTGACAAAGCAGAGGGCAAACTAAGCCATTTCCTCTTCCTGATTTGTGGGGTGTGGCTTTTATTACCTATGGTAAAGAAAAGTAGCAAAAGAGAAAGCCAAAATATTCTCTTTGAAAGGACTGTAGGATATCAGAGAAATCTGAACATATAATAAATATGTTATAATTTGGGGGGAAAAAAACCCTGTAATCTGATTCTCAAGCATATTTAGTTAACGATTTTGCTTTTTGGAACCCAGGGAGATTTCAGGTGGGATAAAAGAAGGTAGAAGGATTTGCTGTCTTTCAGGACCACAACTTCAGCCTCCAAACTACTTAGTGACAAGTTTTGATTTATAAATTCCTAATGGCCTTTTTTTTCCCCCCTTAGGCTGTTTTTACAAGTTTAGGTTTTAAAAGGTTGTAAAAACTGAAGAGAAAAATAAAATTGTTAACTAATAGAGCAGGGGAATTAGGACCTATGTTGTGAAATCATTCCACAGGGAAAAATACTGTACACCCATTGGGAGAGGGTTTTGTGCTGTCAGATATCAATGTTTATGGTGTTAAAGTTAAGGTCAGTGGGTTAGTTTTTAACCTGATAATACTTGGTTAGTGTGCTTAGAGGATTTCTATCTAAAATTTACTATTTATATGAAACTTAATATAAAAAGAAGATAGTTAAAAGTCCGAAAGATTTAGTTTTTTGAGACATCGATTTTGATACTAACTCTTGTCACTGATTATCTATCCTGCCTACCTCCTACAAATTTTTCAGTCCAGCTTAATCTATCATAAATTGGTATAACAATTATGGAGTTTATATTTTGAGTGGAACAATTTTAAAAAATGTTAAGTATTGTTCACTTACAAACAAGCCTATTCAATGACAAACTCTTATTTTCTGATTTTTAAAGACTGTGTAACATCGTCCTTTATTCCCGTCAAGCCTTTCAATGTGACGGCTCAACCAGAACCCACGGTGGAGGTGGAAGAATTCGTTTACGACTCGACAAAGCATTGCCGCCCTTACAGAGTATACAAAAATCAAATTTACATTTACCCCAAGCACCTCAAGTATGACAGCCAGAAGTGTTTCAACAAGGTGTGATACGTTTCTGAGATACCCTTTCTCCCCCACCCCCCACCCCCAAGTTAGACCATATGAAGATGGTTTCTTGAAGGTCAAATACAAATTACTAAAGGCCAACACTTTGGAATAGAAAACCATCTGAAGAAAATGTTGAATAAGAGGCAGTAATGAGTTTCACCCCAAAAGTGTTTAAGGATGTATGTTTTGTGACCTATGAGTAATCCTTTCTGAAATCAGCCCTAAATAATTCTATTCTAGACTTTATTTTTTTGTTTATTAAGAGACTCTGAAAATAGCTTACCTGCCCCCTTCCAATCTGAGGCTTTTCTTCCCTTTTAAATAATCTCCCCAATCCTTCTGCTTTTTCTGAGCACTATGGGTAATGTCACAAGATAGTGTTGGCTAGTCTACATTTTTCAGATTTAATTTAAAGCTACTTATTTTAGGCACCTGAAATTTTTTTTTTAAGTGTTACCTAACAGGAAATTACAATAATCATTTTTCTGGCTGTAATTTCAGGCACGAAATATAACCACGTGCATTGAATTCAAAAATTCCGATGAAGAAGATGCCAAGCCCCTGAAGGTGAGCCAAGTTCACGGGAGGGACACAGCGGAAAGGAGGAGGCAGGCGCACTGGTTCGCTCAGCCGCCCCTGAGGGGCTTTTGATTGGAGTGTGACTGAAAGCGGAGCAATTCAACACGTTTGTTTCAGATTTCCTAAACGTACCTGATTGAATAGGCATCGTTAAGTAGGTCTATTAGAAACGCCCGTCTCATGGCTCTGCTTAGCTTTTCGTGATTTCGAAAAAAAGGAAGACATTCTAGTGTGAAATAAATGCAAAGATTCCTCTCTGGAAGACTTGGTCCTTTTCAAAGATTAGCCTGCCTCCCAGTTCAGTGCTTGGTTGAAAATGCCGCATCCCAGCCGGCCTTCGCGTGCCCTGAGCAGACTGGCTGCTGTGCGCTGGCCAGACGGCCCCAGGGGCGGAGGCGCCAACCCAGGGGGCACTCACGTTTGTGGGAGGTGCACGTGGCCGCGTGCTGAGGAACTGGGAGATGCCTCCGGGAGGCTGGTCCCTGTTACTGATCGCATGATTTAATATGATCAATAAAACCATGAGGTCTGTGTGAACTGGGCTGTTCTCACCTATAAATCTGCAACTGGATGGCATTTTTTCGGAGTTCGTATTTGAAAGATACTGTTTTTACGTTATGGACTTTGAACAACCTATGAAACTGAAGTAACCTATAAAAGTGGAAGGGAAGATTAGTTTTCAGTGGGCCTGCAGCCAGATCGTCCCTGTTTCGGTGAATCAGAGGCATGAAATATAGTAAAGAACAAAGCCAATTTCTAACTGGCGCCCACAATTAACTGAGATAATCTCTGAAAGCACTTCTGTCAGGTACCAATTGTGTATTCTATGCTAAGAAGTGTGGTAGCATTATTCAGAAGAGCAGTCCTCAATTTGAGGGATTGAATGAGTTCTGCAGAGTAGAGAGCAAAAGGGTTTTAAAATAGCCTTGAGGCACTCTCAGAATCCTCACATTCCAAGTTCCACAGCAACATTAGCATCGGGTGATAAAAATCAAGTGAGATGGAAGTATCAAGCAAACAATGGCGATGACCAGAAGGCAGACACACTGGGCCTGCGAGGGCATTGTTGATGGGGAGAATTCTAAAAGGTGCAGGTATATGGGACCTCTGTTTCATTGCATCTTAAAGCGTTACTCAGAGATACAGCTGGCTCTAGTAGAGGGACCCTGAGCCTTGGGCTAAAGGGGCTTTTAGGACAAGGAAGTGCCATCTCCCATTCCCTGGCCTGATTTGGGGCCGGGTTAGAAGAATGACACAATGTGGTGGAGCCTGGAGCCAGCCCTGCACTTCCAGCTGTGCATTCTTGGTTGGGAGCTGGCATGTCAGGAGCTGGGGTCAAACTGTGAAGGAAAAGCCCAGCTGGGCTAACAAGATAGCTCACAAATCTAAATGTAACAAGTGTCGGATTACTGATCTGAGTTCTGCCGGGCTAACTCATAAATCTGAAATTTAGTGTCAGTCTATTGGGCTAACGAGCTAAGTCACAAATCTAAGTGTGGTAAGTGTCGGTTTACTGATATAAGTTCTGCCGGGCTAACTTGTAAATCTAAAGTTTAGTGTCAGTTTACTGGGCTAACAAGCTAACTCGTAAATCCAAGCTCAACAAGTGTCAGTAACATGATCTGTTCCAAATTGATAAGCTCCAGTGTACTGATTCCTTGCATTTTGTTGTTTGAGCCTTATTGGCTAATAGCCCCATACTTGTAATTAACCCTATAAAACCTCATGCGCACGTCTTGGAGGTGCTCAGAGCTTTGGAGCAGAAGCCCCTCTGAGCCCACCGGCGTAATACATCTGAGTACTCCAACCCTCCGAGTGGTGCTTGTTTCTTGGCTGGCCTGTCATTTCCGTAACAAAACCGAGCCTTGTGGTCACCCAGGACTGATGGCCTTCAACTCTAGATCAGAGCTGGATACCACAGGCAGCAGGAATTAGAACTGAACAGATAGATTATCTCTTCTCTCCATAATCAAAAATTAAGTAGTGAATTGATTCAGGAATTCGGTGTTGATATAGCGTCTATGTAATGAATTAAAGCCTTCAAATTTTCTTCCGCTGTGCCCCATGGTATAATAAATACAGGACAGCAAGTCAAAGAAGTTCAAGGTTCATTAGATGTCAGCTAAGCCTGGCAAGCTACCGTGAAATTCGTCTTTGTCCCAGGATGGGTCACTGAAGAGTTGTGACCTTTTTTGTGTTTAGGGTTCATTTCAGACACTCCTAATTATTCAACTCATAACTTCTTATACAGTGTATTTATGGAAAACCTGGAGGACCCCTCTTCACCTCAGCCACCTACACGGCAGTGCTGCACCATTCCCAGAATCCGGATTTCTCAGACGAGGTAAGGGCCCCCAGTGCCCCCAGCAGCCCCTGAAAAGACAGATCAGTGGGTAAGTTAACACACAATAATAGACACTCCCTAGACCACACCTCACACGCAGGACATACCTGAGCAGGTGTTTACGTAAGCAAGCTTTAGAAACCACATCAATTGTCAGTTGCTCCAGGAGTGTGCTGCAAATTCACAAATTTTGGCACAAGATTGTCTTTTAAAAACGTGATGTTGTTATTATATCATTTCTTCCAAATGAGACTATTTTTTTCCCTTTTATTTTATTGGTTAGTATAACAAAGATCATGTTAGATAGTTTTTACCAATCAATACAGGCATTGCATGTCATAAGGGAAAAAACAAAGGGTAGAGTATGAGCCAGCCCTATTGCTGATAACCTTCATGACCTTGAAGGAGCTTAGACCCCCTCATCTCAAGACTTGCCCCAGCCAACTCTCAAGACTCTCTTATTATGTGCCAGGCATCACTCTGTACTCCCTGTATGTACCGTCTCACTTAGTCTACACAGCTTTCTCTAGAGAGACAGAGTCAATAGGGAGATAGAAAGAAAGAAAGAGATAAGTTGATAGAAAGGTAGAGAAAACAAGAAAGAAAAGGAAGAAAAAGAAAGAAAGAAGAGAGAAAGAAAGATAGATAGATAGATAGATAGATAGATAGATAGATAGATAGATAGATAGAGCGAGCAGTGGCTCACATCATTATGGAGGCTGAAAAGCCCCACTGTCTGCCATCTGCAAACTGGAGACCCAGGAAAGCCCTTGGTATAATTCAAAGGCCTAAGAACCAGAGCATCTATTGTGGATTCCAGTCCAGGTCTGGAGGCCTGAGAACCAGTAGCACCAAGGGCAGGAGAAGATCAGTGTTCTGGGTCAAGTAATCAGATAGAGAAGGAATTCAACCTTCCTTGGCCTTCTTGTTCATCTCTGCCCCTCAGTGGGTGGGGTGGGGCCCACAGGTGGGGCCCACCCACCTGGGAGGACCATGGCTTTACTCACTCCACAAATTCAAATGCTAATCGCCTCCCAAAATGCCCTCACAGACACACTCAGACATCGTGTTTAACCAGCTCTCTGGGCATCCGGGGCCCAGGCAAGCTGACACACAAATTAACCTTCAGGTCCTCCTATTTTATGGGTAAGGAAACTGGGGATCAGAGAAGCAACTTTCCCAAGGGTACATTACTATGAAGTGACAGTCAAAAATTCAAGCCAGGTCATGTGACTTCACAGCTTGAAGCTTCACTCTCTAACAGAGACATAAAACAAACAAACAAAACTCACTGGGTCAATGATAAATTACTATACACACATTAGCTTGCATTATAAATGGTCTCAGACAAACAAGTTTCAGTGATTAACTTTGATTTCAAACCATGATGCAAAGGTCTGAGTAACGCAACCTGCCGGTATGATGTCTGGGATTACAAACATCACATGTTTTGTGTGAGTTTCCTCCTTCTGCTTAACAAATTAGTGCAGTTCAGTGGCTTAGACAACACGCATTGATTATCTGACAGTTCTGCAGGTCAGAACTCTGAAGTGGGTCCCACGGGGCTGAAATCAGGTGTCAGCAGGCCTGCGTTCCTTCTGAAGGTTCTGGGGACAAATCCTTGCCTGGCCTTTTCTAGTTTCCAGAGACTGCCCACGTTCCTTGGTTCGTGACCTCCTTCCAGAAATTTCATCTCTCCAGCCTCTCACATCTCCTCTGATTTGGACTCTGCTGCCTTCCTCTGATAAGGCCCTTTGCGATTACATTGGGCTCACTGGGCTAATCCATTCAGTCAAGATCCTTAACTTAATCACATCCGTGAACTCCCTTTTACCATGGAAGGAAACATACTCACATATTCCAGGGATTAGGACATGAGGGACAATTTTGGGGGGGAGCTATTCTTCTGCCTACCACCCCTTGTTACACATCAGCCATTTTTAAACTCATTTAAAGAACGCCAGTGAGACCACAGACCTGACTAACCTTTTCTCCTTCCTCCACATCTATTTAATGCTCTTAAATTTTTTCCCTATAAAGACAGAAATTTTAAAAAAAATTTAAGGGAAAGGGCTATTACCACTTTACAGAATATTCACTACGTTGGTTGACCCCTTGACACAGCCCATCTGAAAGGTGCATTCTCTGTAGACATACAAGGTTAAAAAATATATATATATTCTCACTGTTAATTCTGGCTTTTAATCTCTCTCACTCACATGTGCTTCCCCGAATCCTTGAGCTTTTCCACAAGAGAACATGTGTGTAATGAACAGCCTGGCGAACTCTGCGGTGCCAATTCAAAACTGTTTTCTTCTTTATCATTGCAAACAATGATTGCATTAATTATAAAAATGGGTATGGATTCTTCTAAGGCGCTGTTAAAATATGATGTGACTATTTGCAGTATTTGTTAACTGAAGACTGTTTGCATTAATATGTAGCTAACTGGAATGCTTGAGTACTTGTTTCATTCCCTTGTGCTCTGGCTGAAAAAAAAAAAGAAAATTGCATTCTATTGTATGTTAGTTACTGTCAATTTTGAATTGTATGTTGGCTTTTGTTACCAGGTTAGCATACTGGTATGTAAATGATATATGTAAGCTTCTAAACCATTCTAATTCAGGAGCTCCCAAGCTTCGCTGTGCATCAGAATCACCTGGAAGCCTTGTTAGAACACAGATTACTAAAACCCAGCCCAGATCTGGAGATTCCATACGTCTGGGGTGAGACCTGAGAATCTGCATTTCTAACAAGTTGCTAACATGCTGTGGACACTGAAAATCTACGTAATGAATTCTTTCCTGAACAGTGCGAAAATAAAGTCACTGCAAATACACATGTACCGAGGGTCTAATACATAAGCTGGTAGATAATTTGTCAGGCTCCCTATCTCCTTATTGCTTGATTTGGCTATTCTGGAAACGACCTAGTTGCTAACATTGAACAGAATGCAGCTTACCGGCCTGGGAGCCTGGGATTCTGAGGACGGTGGCGATCACAAGAAGTGCATTCTTGTCCTGGGAGATCCTGATCCAACCATCCTCCTAGGGACTCCAAACCGCTTCCCTGATATCTCTCGCTTTGGTTGCTACCCCTGCGGAGGTTTGGAAACTAAAAAACACCATCAAATGAAGAGGATTTCAAAATCTTTCTTTCCAGGAACATGGTGTATGCTCCTCATTAAGTATATTCTTAATCTACATCAAGCTTATGTTTTATGTTTATTCAGAAGCATTATTTACAGAGCTGCAGCATGACCTCTTTACAAGATTGCTCATTACTTAGTTACCACAATATATTGTACGTTGTACAAATATATTGTAATTTTTATACAATATATACCATATATATATTATTGTGGGTTTTTTTAAGTGATAGATCCCAGGCTTCAGTTATATCATTTACAACAACCGTGTTTCTCAACATGTCTCTGAATCGCCTGAGGATCTTATTAAAATGCAGATTCTGATTCAGTATGTCTGGGTAGTGTCTGAGATTCTGCATTTCTTTTTATTTTTATTGAAGTAGAGTTGATTTAGAATGTTGTGTTAGCTTCCGGTGTACAGCATAGTGATTCCATTACATATATATATTCTTTTTCATATTATTTTTCATTGTAGGTTACTACAAGATAATTGAATGTGGTTCCCTGTGTAGGACCTTGTTGTTTACCTATTTTATACATGGTAGTTTGTATCTGCTAATCCCAAACTTCTGATTTATCCTTTCCCCTTTGATAACTGTAAATTTGTTTTCTGTCTCCAAGTCTCTTTCTGTTTTATAAACAAGTTCATTTGTATCATTTTTTAAGATTCCACATATAAGCGACATCATATATTTGTCTTTCTCTGTCTGACTTACTCCACTTAGTATGATAATCTCCAGGTCCATCCATGTTGCTACAAATGGCATTATTTCATTCCTTTTTATGGCTGAGTAATATTCCATTGTGTATATGTCACCACATTTTCTTTATCCGGTCATCTGATGGGCATTTAGGTTGCTTCCACATCTTGGCTATTGTAATTAGTGCTGCTGTGAACGTTGTGGTGTACGTATTAAATTCTGCATTTCTATCAGCTCCCAAGTGATTCCTGTGTAACTGCTCCAGGCACACACTTTGGGAGGCAAAGACCTACTGTTCACTCAACGTATGTCCCTTGATGATGAGTCCTTAATCCGTGCCCTGCTTACATTCTAAAGTTATGTCTGTGTGTGTGTCTGTGTGTGTGTGTTTAATTCATGGTGGCATAAATTATCTGATGAGAAACACTAGGTATTCTAAATCATCATCATCTGCCACAATAAAGAAGTAACAATAACATCTTACTCCTAGCACGATGGATATTTTTTGAGAGTGAAACCAGTACTTCTAACGCTGACTATTGTGGACCAAAATTTCAGTTAAAGAGTTTTTAAGAGGCTAACGTGTCTATGCTTTGTCTTGCCCTGACACTGGGAAAATGATTTGAATCTCAGCCCAGCTATTCCCTCTTCCATTGCAGGTGAAAATTGAGCTGCCAACACAGCTTCATGAGAAACACCATGTTCTGTTTTCTTTCTATCATGTCACTTGTGACATAAATGCCAAAGCTAACGCCAAGAAGAAGGAGGCTCTGGAAACACCAGGTACTGACAGGAAGCAATCTGAGAGGGCTGTGCATGTCATCTGTTGGACTTGAGTGGGAGAGTACTTTAAAAGCTCTAATTTATGGAGTTTTTGAGTGAAGTTTTGTATCCGTAAATGATAAATAGCTTTCTGTTCGCTCCTCACTAGGAAGTTTGTACTGAAAAGTTTCCCCTCTGTTGTTCCTTTGCACAGTTGGATATGCTTGGCTTCCTCTGATGAAACATGATCAGGTAGCTTCTCAAGAGTACAACATCCCGGTTGCAACAAGCCTGCCTCCTAATTATTTAAGCTTTCCAGATCCTGCAAGTGGAAAGGTATTGAATGATGCATAACTTGAGAAAAAAAACACAAGGGCTCAATGGCATGAGCTTATCTTCTCTCCACTATTTAAATTAACCCAACCTTAGTGTGTGCATCCACTGTAGGTAGGAATCAAGTCTACCTGTAACGTGTCAAATATCCTGTTTAGCTTCTGGCCAGTAGAAATGATCTATTAAAATGGTCCCTCGGCATCACACTGGTCTCATTTACCAATGTTGCCAGATGTATTTGCATCTCTTATTTTCCATCTCTGTAGCGATGTAAGATAATGGGTGGGATGGCGAGTCAGCACAAACTAAATAACCTATTTGTTTTCCCTTCTCCCAAAGTGCCACAGTGACAGTAACAAACTGTTTTTTGCAGCATGGCGGGAGCGACATTAAATGGGTTGATGGTGGCAAACCCCTTTTCAAAGTAGCAACGTTCGTTGTATCAACAGTGAATACTCAGGTGAGCGTGTTGTCCTGAAATATCAAAATCTTCTCTCACACGTAGAATCGTGAGGTGTCTCCTAGATTTACGGAAGGAGACTCACCATTTCCCAAGGCGTCAGAAGAGCAGGTGATTAAAAAGGAGGAATGTTTGTCGCAAAACTTTATCCCTCTACCGGAAGAGATCGAATGCCTTAATTCATAAAAATGCAGGTGCCATAAAACTGCAAACCAAAATACCAGAGGTGTGTTTCTGAGGATGACCCTCCCCTTAGAGGATGGTTTGCTTCCAGTGACGACACCCAGGTGTTAAAAGCATGAACCGTTTGGACTTTTACCTTAAAATTCAGTCCAGTGCCTACCCCAGGCTTCTCTAATGGGAAGCCCATGAGGTTGGGAGAACTGTATTTGAGAGCCACCTCAGCCAATTTCTGGCCGAGTGACCCTGGACCAGTCACTCCACCCCTGCAATCCTATTGCCTCATCAGAAAAATGAGACCAAGGCAAAAAACCCTCTACCTAAGGTTGTAGTGAGAATCAAAATGAGGAACTGCCTGTGAAAATATCTCATGGGCTGCAGAATGCTACACGAAGGTAATTGTGGTCATTGTCAAATCCCCACACTCACCCCTCCCATCGCAAGGCAGCTTGTTTTACCATAATGTGAGGGCTTCTATGGTACCAGTTGTAAACTACGAAGCAAATTATTACAAGCGCATAGAATATGTATTGCTTCTTCCTTCAATGCAGTGTGCATCTGCTCTTCTATTTGTGCTTCACGTTGCTTTATCTCTAGCACATACTTGGTCACTAAGAAAAATGAAATAATCCAGGTGCCACTGAATATTGGATCATAGTTCCTCCCCGCAACCGCTGGTGCCTTGAGCCAGAGTTACTCCTCTTCCCCAGTCCTGCGCCCCTAGCTCCATCTTTCCTCTGATGCCATCAGCCCTGGCTGAGTCCCACAGAATGGTCGTCCTCCACCAAATCCTGCTTTTACAGATCTCAGAGGGCCCCGAGGTTCTCTTTCTCCTGCACACAGCCCACGTCTCTCTGAGACTCAGCACTGCTTACCTTCTCCTCCATCACCTTCTACCACCCACACACTTGTTGCCCCGGGGGAACGCATTCTTCTTTCATCCATAGTGGTATTGACCACAGTTTTCAAATACCCAAGGCCCACCCTTTCCTGCACTGTGACCTCCATCTGCTTCGTTCCTCCAAGACCCAGGGATTTTTTCTTTTCTTTTTTGACTCTCAGCCTTTCCTCAGCCAGGAAGATGATCTCTCCCTCTCTCCTTCCCTCATTGGTCAGATCAGCAACTACCCATCCTTCAGGTCTTGGCCCAAATGTCACTTCCGCAAAGAAGCCTTTCCTGTTCCCTGACCCCTCAGACATGCCGGGTAATCTTGTCATCCACTTAACAGGACACCAGGCTTTCCTCTGAAGCACTTATCTAATCATGACCAAGTAGGTATGTGTGGAAATCAGGGTGTGATGCCTCTCTCCTGGCGTAAAGGAAGGACCACAGAGGAGGGGAGTGCGTTTTCCCTGCCCCGAGCTCTGTCCTCCTTGCCTGCCAAGACCCTGTCCTCACAATTCTAGAGTCTGGAAATCTGAGATCAAGGTGTTAATTTTTTTCCAGAGCCTCTCTCCTTGGCTTTCCTCTGTGTGTGCACTTCCAAGCTTATAAGGACATCAGTCATATTGGATTAGGGCCACCCTAACATTCTTATTTTAGATTAATTGATGCAGCAAAGTGTGTTACAGCTCAGTGTTACAACTCAGTTGTGACAGCAACCTGGATCTGGGCAAGAGACCAAGCAGCACTCAGGCAGAGGGTTGGAGAACTCAGGTTTATTACGCCAGCAGGCCCAGAGGAGTTAACACTCCAAGCTCTGGAACCCGTCCATAGGTTTACACAGGCTTTTATAGGGCACCAGTCTAGACTTTGCAACATTTTGCAACATCATATGCAAGTAAGGTATAATAATGGTGACTAATTAGGAACAAGCTTTGTAGAAATGGACCAATCAGGAGTGAAAGAAATGGGCCAATCAGGAGTGAGATCCATGCAAATGAAGCACTACAAATGGACCAATCAGGAGTTAGCTCAGGAAATCAATAGAATCTTAGGGGTAAGTCCCGCTTTCTTAGAAGTAAGCCGTTTCAGAGTTTAGGAAGCAAAATAATGCTGCAGGGCCAGGGAACCGAATGGTGCTGGCAGGAAGGTAGTGGCCCTGCCTGGGGGTCCTGCTGTCCTTTTCATGGGGCTTCCCACCTCAACTTAGCTCTTTAAAGATCTTATCTTCAAATATGGCTACATTCTGAGGTACTAGGAGTTAAGACTTAAACATATGGATTTGGGGGGGAATAGCAAAGGCTAAGAGTCAGTTTTATCTCATGATATCAGTGTGGACCTCCTAATTTTTTATTAGCTCTGACATTTTTAAGTCTGAAAGTATCCCTCTGCATATTAAAGCGTACACATTCTCCTATGCGTTAAAGAATATGTAAGAAAAATTGGTGGGAGTCTGTGGAAGAAGCAAAAACAGGAAGATGGTAGAAGGGAGTTTAAAAAAGAATGGAACCAAGGGAAGTAATTCTCCAGCCATTGTCATATGGTTCAGAACGAGAACAAACCTCTGAGGATGAAAGAGGAGAGAAAGTGGGCTTTGTAAGTCAGGTCGAACCCTCGACGTGCCGGGACGTCTGTGAAAGTGAGAGGTGGATCCCAGTGACTCCTTGATAAAGCTCACGGCATCTGTCCTGCAGAAGGGCGCACCTCCATCCCCATGGTTGTGCCACAGCTCACGTGTCATCAAAAATAAATATTTGGTTTCTGGCTGTTTCAGGATCCACATGTGAACACATTTTTCCGACAATGCCAAAAAAGGGAGAAAGATATGTCTCAGTCGCCTACCTCGAACTTCGTCCGATCTTGTAAGGTAAACGTGACATGCCAACAGCTGCGATGGGCTCCAGGGTGGAAATGGGCAAAACCAACCTTGACATTTTGCACTGAGTAAGCAAACCAAGGAGTAATTGTTATTGAGGATTTTTAGATGCCTCATCAATTCAGAGAGTAAATGATTTTATTTCCCAATTCCTAGAAGGTGTTTGTGGGTTGATTAAAAAATAAGCAGAGATCCGTTTCTCCAAAATAAAAATGATTGGAAAACAGAATCAATTGATTCTAAATTAGTTAATGCTGAATGCCATGAGTAATAAAGCCAGACAGAGGTGAGCTTCAGTACTCGTATTCAGATTCCGAAAAACACCACTAAAATGTGCTTTCAATTTAATCAGTGGCCTTTCTTCCCCCTGCCAATTTAACAGAACTTATTGAATGTGGAAAAGATTCAAGCAATCATGAGTTTCCTGCCTATAATCTTGAATCAGCTCTTCAAGGTCCTGGTACAGAATGAAGAAGATGAAATAAACACCACTGTGACCAGGTATCCATCACACAGCCTTGAGATCTGATAAATTGTAGTTCCGCAGAACTCTGATGATAACTGAATGGCCACTTAATTCTCTGGGCTTGCATTTTGTTTGAACACATATCTCAAATTTAAGTATTTCTCACTCTTGAATTCTTACCTTCTCATCATCCATTGTCATTCAGATAAAGTTTTAGACCTCTTTTTTAACTTTTTATTTGTGTTTTTTAATTAAGCTCTTTATTTGGAGATAATTATAGAGGCACATGCAGTTGTAAAAAATAACGCAGAGAGATCTCACGTTCCTTTTAGATGTTCCCAGTGGTGACATCTTTGCAAAACTAAAGTACAGTATCACGAGCAGAATATTGACATTGATACAGTCAGGATACAGAACATTCCCCTCCCCACAAGGATCCCTCATGTTACCCTTTTATTGACACACCTAACTCTTCCCTCATCTCAGTCCCCACCCCTTAGCCCTGGCAATTACTAACTTGTTCTCCATCTCTAGAATGTTGTTATTTTAAGAATTTTATATATATTATATTGAAATTGTGTATATAATCATATTATAATTATATTTTTATATATATAAATAGTTGGAAATTGAAAATAGTATATAATTATATATGTTAAAACATATATCATATATACTTGTGATAAATTCATAAATTTATTTTATATTTCTGTTTTAAATGTATAAATTTATATAAATCATATATATATGTGTGTGTGTGTGTATGGAATTGTGTAGTATGATAGTATGTAAACTTTTGGGACTGGCGTTTCTCACTTAGCATAATTCTCTGGAGAGTCATCCAGGTTGTTGCATCTATCAGTACTTCACTCTTTTTTACTTCTGAGTAGTATTCCATGCCACAGTAAGTTTAAAAATTCACCTGTTGAATTTGACACAACACTGTAAAATGATTATGAATCAATAAAAAATGTAAAAAAAAAATTCACCTGTTGAGGACAGCTGGGTTGTTTCCAGTTTGGGGGTAGATTCGGGGGTGAACATAAGTTTTCACTTCTCTGAGATAAATGCCCAGCGCAGTTGCTGGGTCACACGGTAGCCGTGTGTGTGGGTTCTGAGAACGTGCTGAATTGTTTTCCAGAGTGGCTGTGCCCTTTCACGCTCCCACTAGATCCTCTGTTGTTGCTATTATGTTCAATTTTAATTCAACTGTTATCACTTTAAATTTTGCCAACATTGCTAATCTGTCTGGTGACTTTGGCAATTCCAGTTTCCTCTTTCTAGAGAGAGTGTTTTTAATTAATTATTGAGTCTTATATTCCAAATGTTCATTTCTTTTTAAATATTAGTCACAGCATTCTGGAAAAAAATTACTCTTGACATTGAAATATTTTCAGTACCTTCATAACTCCCAGGTATATAGTTAGCCTCTTTCAGAATAAGAGCCTTCAGATTTTAAAAATCTGAAGCTCTAGAAACTTGAAGTATCCCTAATCGCTCTGCAACCAGCGAGTCCTGGAACCAGCTTAAAAGTCCCCAGCTGTGCCTTTAACATATGCTCTTTTCAGCATAAGTAGATACATCTGTACTGGCAAAACTCTTAAATATTTCAGCAGATAGATCTGTTGAAATTCTGAGGTATTCCTAAACAACACAGCCATGCAGCAACTGGACGTGTTCATGAGAAGAAGTCAACCCGTACCTCCTCTGCTACTGGAAACCCTAACCCAGCTGAGGGGGAATAAGCCCCAAAACCTACACCTTAAACTAATTACTTTTTCCCAAAGCATATATATAATGCTTCAAAGTTGGAAGACAAGCCCTTTTAAAATATGATAGATAGAGGTTAAAGATCTTAAGTTTTAACAAAGTACTAAAAATGATCCTTTTTCTAAGAAGACAGTGTCAACAAGCACACAGACCATAATAGCACATACAGTTTGGGCAAAAATGCCTCCAGTGTGATCCTGCAGCCGTAAGACGTTACTTAGAGCTTAGTGTTTAGAGATTTCAAGGTTGGAAATGGCCAACGGGTATTACAGATATTGAACACCCAGTACTGGGGATGCGGGAGAGGAGGGAGTCTGACATTGGTTCATTCATTCACTCAGTAACTATTACATACGCAGTCTACCAAGCACGCCGGTGACAAACGCAGTGATACTTATTTTCCTGCCTTCTCCAGAAAGGCCACTGAACAGCTTTGCTTTTCCAGGGTTCTGACCGACATCGTGGCCAGGTGCCATGAGGAGCAGCTGGACCACTCCGTCCAGTCCTACATTAAGGTATGAAATTACCACTCGGGTACTGGTCATATCCCCTCGTACTGTGTGGCTTGTCTCATTTCCTGTCTGCAGTAAGTAGGAAGGCTCTCCCTGTAGCTGGGCGGTGCCCACCACAGTCATATCAGACATTCCCCGGAGCTACTTACAATACCGTCTCTTTGCATTGATGGGCTCGATGTAGTGTTTAAATGTATAAATGTATAAATAATGTGTACGTGTGCAGATGAATATTTATAGTGGGAGAGAGAGCCAAGAAAGAGTCTGTAGAGGAGACGAGAAGTATTGTCCTTTGATGTCAACATTACAAATAAATGCAATTCTGTGTAAATTTCAGGAAAACATTTCCTGTTGGTTTGTTGAATGCGCTGTGTTTCTTCTGTAATGTTTTCTTAGCTCTTTTTATTGTTTTCTCAGGCATTATTTCATTTTCCCAGTTACTGTATATTTGTACCTGCTTCTGGTATGTTAAGTCCTTTATCCTCTGGCATGAACCACTAGCCCATCCCATCGGTGCGCTCGCTTCCTCCAGTGGCCTTGTCAAATGTTCACTCAGACGTGGTTTTATTCTCATTTCCAGCTGGTCTGTGAATGAATGCCAGTGAACTTGTGATGATGTTTGCACATTTTAGTTCCGGCTTAAATATCATCTTCTTGAATGAGAAGCAAAAAACCCATCCAGAGATAAATAAAAGTACCTTATATTACTTTATAACGCATAGAGGACCTAAATTTCTATTTTTATGCATAGATTATATCTTTTAGAGACAGAGATCCTTTTACTTAAAAGAGTATATTCCATTAATATGATAGAATATAGCCATTTATTTTAGATATATAGAAAGGCGACTAAGAAGAATTTGGGGCATTTTGTGCTACAAACGTGACAAAAATGCTCCCGTAAAAGGAAATAGCTAGAAATTTTATTCTGAGTTGAACCCCTCCCTCCGAGATAGCATCAGTGAGGAATTTTTTTCTCATTACAGTTTTATATGTACATATTTTCTACCTGTCAGAAATGTTAGATGTCTTCCCAAATACCTAAGCATGAGCCTGTGTCCTTCCTTAAAATGGCCCATACGCCAAAAATAGTTACTTCACAGTAATTTCCCAGTGGTATAATTTTACCCAATAAGATCTACAATTCAATTGCCGGCGGCCAGTTCCACCTACAAATGCTTTTTAGTTTGCCCTCTATTTAGTGTAGAGTCACAGCTTACTTTTATAGGGTATTGATGAGTTTATCATTCAACAAAATCATCTCTCAACATTTACCCCAATTTTCCATTTCAATCACCAAAGGGGCTGAGAAGAAAAAAATTCCCCAATCCATACTGCATGAAGTCATCTCTTTTTCAACACACATTTATCTTGTTTCAACAGAATCATTGGAAATTGCATTAAGAACCACTGATACTGTGGCTCTCGCTGTGACAGTGAGGGCTGGCCCCTGATGAGAGCCTTAGGTCAGCTCTCAGACAGCATCTGTGATGCTGCAGGGTGTACTGGAAATGCATCCTGGAATGGTCTTTATGTTTAACTAGGATGTTCGAAATAGCCTGATGAGACCATCTGATTTTGTGATATAGGAGGTTGCTTATTTAGTTTGCTTTGAAGTGGTTCAAGTGCAGAAATAGACCTATGTGGAATTCCAAGCTGATAACAATTCCTCAGGATTTTAGAGCACATAGTTTCGTATATCTAAAACAGACACGGCCTGATAAACATAACCAACTGGAAAGTGCACTCAAGTAGCAAGGGAGGAAACTAGATTCTCGTTAAGGTTGAATAGTTAACTGTGAGCAAGCCACCTCTCTGAACCTCGTTTTTCTCCTCTGTGTAGTGAGGTGGGGTGGACCAGATGAACATCCAGCTCTATTATTCTGCGATTTGACTCCTGTTGTAATACATGGCTGAAAGCCTGACCTTGACCAAGGAGTCTGATTTTTTTTTAACCCTTTGTGGAAAAAATTAGTTTTTAACATATGCATCAACATTAAGCCCCACACGTCAGAGTATAATAAAAACTGCTGCTCATACGTGCTTTGATGCCCTTGAGAGATGTGATATTTGATTTAATTTATATTTATTCGGAAGTAAACTAAACACCATTTCAAGTTCAGTGGTGCTAAATGCTGCTAACTCACTCCATCTACAATATCCAAAACGCACACATGCACCATGTCTCTTTCAAAGATGTATGTCTGAAGTCGATCTAATCAAATGCCATGGTTTACAGCAATTTGTAGGGCTGACATGTTCTTGCCAAAATTTTTTAAAACTTCAGAGCTAATTGAAATGCCCTTGGGGCTGAGTCACTGTGCGTGGGATTAAATAGTCAGTGACAACACTGCCCTCACCTGAGTCGTAATCCCTGAGGGGAAAAATCATACGACTCTTGATTTTAGCTACTTTCGTGCATCTTTTAGGCTTCTGTTTCTCCCTTGGGATGAGCTCGGAGAAGTCAGGCCCCATCAGGACAATTCAGGTGTCAGGGAGCTACGAAGTTCAAAGAAATGGCTAGAGACCCGAATGCAGACGTGCCTCTGCTTTGACTTTCTTGCCTGCCTTCACCCTTAACTTAGTGAAGTCCCAGTTGTGAACATTATGAAGAAATGACCTTCCTGGAGGCAAACCCAACTCATAAGCAAAATATTATATATTTTATATTGTAAATATATGTGCATGAACTGATACTTAAAGTATACGAAGAAATGTGGAAAACTAATCATGACGTGCACTCAGCGGTGCGTGCCAAAACCAATTTTTTAAGGAAAAAAAGAAAGAGCAGCCAGTGTTCATGAGCCCGCTGATAGCTGTGTCTGAGCGTGAGATGGTAGTGGCCCCGGGCTTGTGGGGAGCTCACCTACTGGCCTCTGGAAGGCGCCTGCTTCCCCACGTGGCTATCTGAGTGGCTATTTGAGTTCTTCATCCTTTCAGGATGAAGAAATGCTACCATGCCACCCAGCTGTTGCCAGTGGAAGGAAGGAGAAGGGGAAGTGTATCCCAAGTAGGTGGGTCACAGCCCTCCACGCTTCCTTGAACCTGCTAAATTGCTCTCTGGCCCTTCGTTTTGCTTTCTACAAAGAGAGTTGCAAGGGGAGCTTAGGTGAGCAAGGCCCTCCCTGTGCAGAGCCCTAAATAGAAGCAGGTGTGTATCACACTTACCATTGGGCCTTCATTTATTCATGACCAAATCCAGCATGAGCAGATAATTTCGAGACGTGTTATTCATGGAGCACAATGTTTAAGTATTTAACTTTTTTCCCTTTTTGGACTTTCTTCAGTTCGTGTTCAAGACCAGGGCGTGCAAGGAGAGAACTATACATGAGGAACTGGCTAAAAATGTGACTGGTCTTTTGAAGTCAAATGACTCCACAACAGTCAAGCATGTCCTGAAGGTAAAGAATTTGAAGACGCTCCTTTCATTGTTGGTACCTGGGATGACTTACTCTCAACCCGGAAGGTGATAGGAGTCATTGATTTCTATGGCTCATTTCTCTTATAGTTCCTGGTACAAGCTTCATGTTGAAACTGTGGCATATGAAAATATTAAGCAAAAGAGATCTATGTCAAGAGAACAAATCCTCTTAGAAAGCAGAATGTACCCAATTTGTCCTTTGGCCCAAAAGCAGAATGAATAACTATTAAAAATGACCTAAAGTATGCAGAAATGCTAAGGGTATCAAAAATAAAGTTTATTGGGCTTTTAGACACAGTAGGAGGGAAAAGGATTAATGATGTGTTAATGAATATACTGACAGCTGAGAAGAAACAGATAAACAGCCACTCTCTGACCCCCAAAATTTGAAACACATGCATTTGCAGGAACACAAAGAAGAGATGGTGAGAAAATTATAAAGAGATAACTCTAAACTATTAGAGACAAGTGAATTTAGTCCTCTGCTGAATTATCTGTCATGGTTTGACAGAGAGATGATTGATTGGTCAGTAGCTAGGAGAGAAGGCTGAAGGTTGGATCAATAAGTGTCAACATGAGTTCATTAAAGTCAAATCATCCTAAGCCAAGCCATTTGTTTGTTTAAATTTAAATTAGCCATATGACTCTATTCGTTCAGTTTATCCAACAAATACATTCTGAGTGCCTTGCTCACGACTAGCGCCATCCTCACCATCCTAGCCACGGGACATGCATCAGAGAACAGAGTGAGATCTCTGTCCTGGGGAAGCTTACCTTCTACTGTGGGAGAAAAGCAACCAACTACACATATGATAACAGGATTAATTAAATTGTATGTTAGGAGGTGAGAAGTAGCAAGGGAAAAGAAAACGTCAAGCAGGTAAGGGGAACTGGGAGTGCTCAGGGTGCAGGGTGAGGTTTGCAGTTTTGTATAGAAGGCTCAGGATGTGGAGGTGGGGTAGAGCTCAGTGGTAGAGCGTGTGCTTAGCATGCACAAGGTACTGGGTTCAACCCCTGGTACCTCCATTAAACAAATAAATAGATAGATAAATAAGTAAATAGAATGATCAGGATAGAGCTTATAAAGAAGGTAATACTTGAACGAAAAATGTGAAGGAGGTGAGGGACCCGCCGGCCTTGGGGATGTTTAGGGTAGGATATTAATGGTAGAGGAGAAAACATATAGTATTTGTCTGTCTTTGTCTGACTTATTTCACTAAGCATCATACCCTCCACATCCACAGTGTCACAAATAACAAAATTTCATTCAGTTATATGTGGAATCTAAAAAATAAACAAACGAATGTAAGAAAACAGACACAGACTCACAGACATGGAGAACTAGTGGTTACCAGAGGGGAGTGGAGCAGGGGAGGGGCAAAATAAATGCAGGGGGATAAGAGGTTCAAACTGCTGGGTATAAAATACGTAAGTAACAAGGATATAATCAATATTCAGCACAGGGTATCTAGCCGAGATTGTATACCAACCTTATATGGAGTATAATCTATAAAAATATTGATTCACTGAAATTAATGTAATATTGTAGGTCAACTATAACTCAACTTAAAAAAAAATATAGAGGGTAAGACCAGTATAAAGTCGTAAGGCGGCAGCATGCCTGGTGGACGTGCCTGAAAGACGGCAGGGAGGCTGAGGTGCTGAAGTCCAGTGAGCGAAGAAGAGAAGAGGCAGGATGCAGCCAGAGAGGCAAGGGGAGCTTTGGCAAGTGACGTAAGGCCTGGGGGCCCCTGCAGGGGTTTTGGTTTCTACTCAGAGCGAAATCGGGAGCCATTAGTGGGTTTTGAGCAGAAGAGTGATGGGAACTGCCCTTGGTTTAAAAGGATCGCTCTGATGGCCGTACAGAGAGCTGCCTGTAGACAGGGTGGAGATGGAGGCTGCTAAAGAGGGCTGCCTGCCCAGGGAGGCTAGGTTCTCAGGGGAGAAACAGCGTTTAGCTAAAAGACAAGGTGAAGGGAGTGTCTGGAGAAGTTGCATCTTTAGGGCATCTTGGTGGTGATGGACGTGTGGTCCAGACTGAAGGAATGGTGGGTGGACTTCAGGAAATGGGAAGCAGTGAGCTACAGGTACAAAACGGAACGTGCAGCATCCTGCCGAGAGCGGAGTGGGGTGCCCACCGTTATCAGACGTGAACAGAGGTGAGAGGCCCAACGTGATGAGTCCTGGTGGACTTGAGGCAAATAGTGGAGGCAGGACAGGGTGCTGAGGGCTGGAGAGTGGCAGGTCTTAGTTAAATTAAGAGACAAATGTCACAACGGTTAAAAAATATTTTGGACAAGATGTGGGTGCCTTGTATTAATTAAATATTCCCAACAACATGAATTTCATTTCCGATATCGAGTTTACTAAGAACAGATCCCTTTACTGAGCCAGAGGTGCCCCTTTAGAACTTAAACATATGTTCTTCCTCATTTCAATCTTCTAGCTTTAGGACCAGGTACTCGAAAGTTTTTAACAGCATGGTCTGTATCAGCCTAAAATTGGGTATAATTCAAGGGCCCATCAGTAGTGGAGCAGAGAAGTCAATTGGGATTATATGTGTAATGCGGTGACAATAGAGGACCCCCAGCTATATAACTCAACATAAATGACCCTCAGAAAAGAATCTGTTGAATGAAAAAGACAATCACAAGAGAATACAAAGAGGATGACTCTGTTTATACGCAGTTCAGTGGCATGTGTAATACTGGTAATACCTTATAATGATATAGAATATGAAAAAGAATATACGTGCATGTAACTGAACAAAATGCTGTACATCAGAAACTAACACAACATTGTAAATCTACTCCAATTAAAAAACAAAAAAAGGCTATTCTATAGAAACAGTGGAACTAGACACTTGTCAGGAATGAAGTGCTTCTGGGGGTCTATTTCAGTAAACAGTTTCTAAGGTCAAAAAAATGGCAGCAAAATTATGAAGTAGAGCAAGGGAGTGATGAGCACAAAATTCAAAATTGTTACCTGTGGTGGAGAGGCCGGGGAGGGAAGAAGAGCTTTAAACTGTACATATGAGATGTATGTGTATCGGAGATACGACCTCATACCCAAGGAGAGGGGCTGCCGTCCTTGGATGTGCTTTGGTCTCCTCCAGCTGCACCCCTTCCCGTAGGAAAAGGTATGAGAGTGCCCAAGAGCAGTGACCCCTGGGGGGCCCCCTTCTCTTCAGGACCTCTTTCCTAAGTCCATCCTTCAGAGGGAAAATCCTGTTGCCTGAGCGCATCCCCAGACCCAAAGGAGAGAGAAGGACTGGCTTGTGGACAGCACTTGATGTGTAGGCTGGACAGTCACCCATGTGCACCCCGGGCTCCTGAGGTGTAGGACGGAGCCTTGGTGAGAAGAGGGGGCAGGCCGGGGCCCGGCCCTCCCAGTGCCCCCACGTTCCAAGTTGTCACGGAGTTCTTTTCATCAAGATAGGAGGATCCAGCATATTTCATTTGACACTTTGTTACCTCGACTTTGAACTTTTTGATGTTTACGCACGTGACTTTCACTTTTACTCTTGCCTCTGTCCCGTTGGGGTGGGCTTAACGACCACATATTTTCATATAAAGAGTTTAGTTTTGTTTAACTAAGTGAAACAAACAGCACACCCAGTGAAGAAGTATTTCATGAGACTGCTGTCTAATCAGCCACGTCGAGTAAACCAGTATCTTGTTTTAGTTTAAACATTCTTTGACATGACTGAGGAACAGAAATGTCTGGCAGTTACTCTTATCATTGGAACTTTGATAAGATTCTCCTAACATGATGGAGAATGTATTATTATTCTGATACACTTAATTTCAAAGAACACGTGTTAAGATAAAGATTTCATAATATCACATGTTGTGAAGAAAAGGATTATCATAATTTTACCATAAGATAATAAATTTCTTGTTGTCTTTTCTTTTCCTAACAGCATTCCTGGTTCTTCTTTGCAATTATCCTAAAATCAATGGCACAGCACTTGATTGACACAGATAAAATTCAGGTAAGATTATAGGTAATATAATAGTATGCAGC